CAACAACGTGGGAGAGTTCGCTTTTCTCCACATCCTTGCCAACACTTGTGGTTTCTTGTCTTTTGGATAATGGTCATTCTAACTGGTGTGAGGTGATATGTCATTGTGGTTTTGGTTTGCATTTCTCTGATGATTAGCAATGTGGAGCATCTTTTCATGTGCCTGTTGGACATCTATATTTCTTCTTTGGAGAAATTTTTGTTCAGGCCCTCTACCCATTGTTTAAGCAGGTTATTTTGTGTTTTTTGGTGAGTTGTATGAGTTCTTTATATATTTTGAATGTTAACTCCTTATCAGATAAATCATTTATAAACATATTCTCCCATACTGTAGGATGCCTTTTTGTTCTGCTGATGGTGCCCTTTGCTGTACAGAAGCTGTTTAGTTTGACATAGTCCCACTTGTTCATTTTTTATTTTGTTTCCCTTGCCTGAGGAGATGCGTCCAGGAAAAAATTGCTCATGCTTAAGTTCAAGAGATTTTTGCCTATGTTTTCTTCTAAGAGTTTTACGGTTTCATGTCTTCCATTTAGGTCTTTGATCCATTTTGAGTTTACTTTTGTGTGTGGAGTTAGAAAGTAATATAGTTTCATTCTCTTGCATGTATCTGTCCCAACAGTTTTCCCAACATCAGTTTTTGAAGAGGCTGTATTTTCCCCATTGTACATTCATGGTTCCTTTATTGTTTAATTGACCAAATATGTGCAGATTTATATCTGGGTTCTCTATTCTGTTCCATTGATCTATAGGTCTGTTCTTGTGCCAGACCATACTGTTTTGATTACCAGTTTTACGAAATAGCTTGAAGTCAGAGAGCCTAATACTACCAGATTTGTTCTTCTTTCTCAGGATTCCTTTGGCTACTCAGGGTCTTTTGTGATTCCATATTAATTTTAGGATTATTTTCTCTAGTTCATTGAGAAAAGCCAATGGTGTTCTGATAGGGATTGCACTGAATCTGTAAATTGCTTTGGGCAGGATGGCCATTGTTCAAAAATGCACAGCACCACCTTCGGGGTGCCATTCTCTGATGAAATAGCCATGTGTCCAATTGCATTATTGATCTCCATCCTAAGTATAGTGGAAGTTTCACTTAAACAAACACTGCTTACAAAGCAACCTCAAATACCTGGAACAGGGCTAAGAGATGGGAAATATGGAAAAGTGGCCTCTAACATGCCAAAACTAAGATTCAGTTAGATCATACTCTAAGGCTTTTGCATTTGACTTATATAGTAACTTACTGGCTCTTTACTTGGAACCTGCTCAGTGTTGCTTTACACACAATTCTATAATCCTGGTGAGTCTGATTCTTCAGCTAACAGCCTATCAGAATGGAGAAGAGGCTGGTAGGAGCTTGCACAGTGACAACAGTGGAGATTGTTAGAGACAATCTCAGGAAACAATCTGGGATCATTCTGTTTGTGTTCCATATACTTTAATAAACCCAGGAGGCATCACTCACTGCAGTGAAATACCATATACAGTAAATGAAGTTTATAATGACTTCTGGGTCACTGAGAAAAACAAGACAAGGGTAACATGATTGTTTTATGATAGGTTCCCATAAAAAGACAACTCTTTTGTAAGTGGTTTGAAGGTCAAGATTCAGATGACTATAAAAGTGATTTACATGTATTGCTTCATTTCCTCCAAATGCCATAAAATAATAATAGCTAGTATATTTTTAAAGGCTTCCATCTACCAAATATTATCTCAACTGCTTTCACCTTTACAACATAGTTACTACTACCTGCAAAGAGGGAGGCTAAAATTGGGTTGAACAGAGTAAGGAAACCTGGGGCATTTCAAGATGTTCCTGCAGCTTCAATTTTTGATACTCTAGTCTGGGAACAGTGGGCCAACACCACATTCCTGGGCAATAGAGTTCCAGGGCAGTTCCTTGGTCTGTTCATTCTTACTTGCATCCTAGAAATCACAGGCCTCATCAGGGTGTGGACGTGTTGTGCTCTGATGGATCTACTGTTTATGCACCTTTCACTGGAATGATTGTGGGCCAGGAGAAACCTTATAAAAACAAAAATGCTATCAACAATGGTGTTCGGATATCTGGAAGAGGTAAGAGGTGGTATATGTCCCTGGGACATATACTGGAAATGTTTGATGCTTTTTTACTTAATGCATATTGCATACATAGAAGTTTCATACTTCCTTCAAAATGATAAAACCTAGAACATAAAGGACATAGGTCACCAAACTAAAACAGCTAATGCATTTAAAGATGTTCCAACTTTTTCCTAAAATCTTCTTTATGCACACACTCCATGTAACTATAGCTGACGCAAAGGCTTTGACTTGCATGGTTTTGCTGAACAACGTATAAACAAAATCACTTTCAACAATATCAACTATAACGAATAGACACTTTCATTCACCCAAATCCCACAATTCAAAAATGTCGGCACTGCTGCAAAAGCTGACAGTGAAGTATTTTCAAAGGCCTCTATGTTCTAGGAGAAGCTGGGTCCCCTAGTATATGCCAGGTGTTGGGCTTGTTGTTTGGTTTTGTTTTACTGAGGTGTAATATACACACAGAAGAGTAAAAAAGCGTTAAGTGCACAACTCCACGAATTTTCACAAAGTGAATACACCTGTGTAACCAGCACCCACATCAATAAAAGAACATCACTAGCATCCCAGAGACTCTCTGTCATGATTCCCAGCTAGGGTAATCACTATCCCACCATTCAGTAGCTTTGCCTGTTTTTGAAAATGACATAAATAGAATTAAACAGCACACAGTCTTTTTTGTGGGGCTTCTTTCACTCCACATCATGTTTGTGAGATGCATCCATGTTTTTGTGTGTAGTTTAAGTTCCTTCATTCTTATTGATGCATAGTATCCCATTGTACACACATCCATCTTCATCTATTTAATCATTCTTCTCTAGAGGGACATTTGGATAGTATTCAGGTTTAGGTGATTAACAAAATGCTATGAAGTTTTTTGTACGTGTGTTTAAATGAACATAAATATACATTTCTGTTGGGGATGGGTCTGCAGGACACCTCCCTCACTAAGGCTGTGAGAAACACTTTGTGAGGGAGCCCATGTCTTTTAAAAGCTCTATGGTGGCTATGCTCTGGAGGCCAAGAATGAGAAGAGAAACTGCTGTCATTGGATGGGGTCCACTTAGTTTCCAAGGCCAAGGTTGGCATGGTTACCTAACAGCTGGCAGAGCTGAAGCAGTAGTAAGATTCATTTGGAGCACAGAGATCTGTGGTACTTTCTAATTAATCATGGCAACCCTAGAACTGAATAGATGGGCAGCCTACTAAAGCCTTATTCAATTTGTGCAAATGGAAACACTCTAAGTCTGATGAACAAAATTCTGACTTCACTTATCACAATAATGAGTCACAAAACCTCCCCCCAACCACAATTCCCAGACTTGAGCCAGTTCAGAGTCCCAGGGCTCTATGAATGAGAGAGGCTGAGTCCCTTTGAGGAAGGGCTATGTCTCACAGCCCAAAGTTTATACTGTAAACTATACTTCCAGCCATCCCCAACGGGCCTGTAGCCATTTAGCAGGATTACTGTATACTGGAGAAGAGGAAATAATTTGGCCATCCAGAGATTACTGCACACTCACTCAAAACTAATTCCTGGAGACCCAAAAGGCCACTGTGGTCCACCAGTCACACTTATGGTTTCTAGGGTCAGATGATCAATGTAGTTTTTCAGTAGGTCCATCTTAGAGTGGGCCCAGTGCGTCCACAAGTCCACCCTGTGGTAATTTCCCCAGGTCCAGAATGCAGAGTTGGAATCAACATAATTTAGCAACTGGCTGGATGCTGTAGGAGTGTCCTTGCCAGGTCACACATATATTTTCAGCTCTAATAAATACTGCCACACAATTTCCAAAGTAGTAATACCAATTTACACTCCTACCAGAGGGTGTGAAAGTTCCAGTCGCTCCACACAGAATACCTGGTGTTATCTACTACCCTTTCATTTCGGTCCTTCTGATGACTATGTAGAGGCATCTCATTTGACTTAATTAGTAATTCCCTGATGGCTAATGAAACAGCACATTTTTGTATTTACTGATGACATGGATATTACCTTTTGTGAAGTGCATATTCAAGTATTCTGCCCTCTTTCTTATCGGAATAGGAGCTTTTTGTGTATTTTGGATGTAAGTCCTTTGTCAGATATACATATTATAAATATCTTCTCCCACTTTATGGGCTGCCTTTTCACTTTTTAAATATCTTAATAAACAAAACTTTTATTTTTATTGCAGTTTAGTTCAGTAATATTTTCCTTTGTTAACACATTCTGTTTACCTGTTTAAGACACATTTGCCTACCCTGAAGTCATATTCTCCCCATATTTTTGTCTATAAGCTTTGTTGTTTCATCTTTGACATTTATATTTATAACCCATCTGTAATTGGTTTTTGTGTAAGGAATGAGATAAGAATCAAGATTTTTTCCCCCACAGTGATACCTAGTTGACTCAGTACGATTAATTGGACAAGACAATTTTTTCCCCCACTACATTGCAGTATCTTTTATCACAAATCAGGATCTGAATATATGTGGGTCTGTTTCTGGTCCTTCTATTGTGCTTCACTGGTCAGTTTGTCTTGCACAAATACCACACTGACTTAATTATTAAAGCTTTAAAATACGTCTTGATATTTGGTAGTATAAAACTCCCACTATTCTTCTTCTTTCAGACTGTCTTGGCAATTCTTGGTCATTTGCATTTCCAAATAAATTACAGAATAAGTCTGTCAATTTCAACCAATGGACATATTATATCCTCCATTTATTTAGGTCCTTTTGCACTGTTATATTGGTAGTTGTACTGGTTTTCGTGTAGAAGTCTTGAACATATTCTGTTTCATATATGTATGTAAGACATGCCTTATTGATTTGTTCAGTTCTTCTATAGCAGTAAATGTCCAACAGAAATATAACAAAAGCCACATATATAATTTTAAATTTTCTAGTAGTCACATCAAGGAAGCAAAGAGAAACAAGTAATACTAATTTTAATAATACATTTTATTTAACACAGGTTCTCTAAAATATTATTTCAAAATGGAATTAATACAAAAATCAGAAATACTCATTTTTTGGTACTGTCTTCAAAATTCAGTGTGTATCTTACACTTAAAGCACACCTAATTCAGATTAACTACATTTCGGTGCTGACTAGCCACATGTGGCTAGTGTCTACCATGTTGGGCAGCATCATTCTATAGCCTTTTTTATGTTTTCTTTCTGTCTACTTGAGATCTTTTCACTGATACGTGTGTTAGTCTTCTATTACTAGAGGGTTCTGTCTATTTCCCCTGGTACGTCCTGTAGTCTGCTTTATACATATGGCTTCTGCTTTATCTAGTGAATGGATAGTTATAACTATTGTCTTATCACTGGGTTTAACTTTAGAGACGGTCCTCCTGCGCCTTGTTTGTTTTTTTGCCTGAGTTCCACTCTTTGGTAAGGATCATAACCCTTACTTTCTATATTGCTTAGTTTGCTTGGCAGGTCTTTGACCCTCAAATTTTTAGCCTTTTTCAATTACCATGTCTTACTGTACATAGCACAGAATTGGGTTTTCCTTTTCAAGCAAATAGAAAATGTTTTTAATAGATGAGTTAACATTTATAGATATAACTCATATATTTAGTCTTAAACTGTCATATTGTTTGGTTATGATTATAGTATTATATTAATACTCTATCTGGTGGGCCTTCTCTTTAAAAAAAATTTGGTATTTAGGAAGATGTGGTATTCTTGAACCAGTTATTTCTATTTTTGTCTCTAAAATCTAATAGTTTTATTAGACTATGTCTTGAAGTTGACATTGGTCAGGATCAATTTTCTCAGCTACCTAGTTTCTTCTGCTATTTTTCAATGACTATTAAATTTTCATTTGAATCTACTCTTCTTTGAACACCTTACAATTTGTCTTCATTTCTGATATGATTTTGTTATTCTCTTCTATTCCCTCATTGAGTTCATTCAACTCTTTTTTTTTTCCATTTTTGTTATTTTTTGAATTTCTGATTTAAGTTTACACAAGTAAACTCAGATGACTAATTTTACTTCTTTTTTTCTTAGGTTTCTGTATTAAAATGTTCTACATTAAGCCGATTAAATATAAGGGTTCTATCAAGAAGGGAGAAAAACTGGGAAGCCTGCTGCCCTTGCAGAAGGTTTATCCCGGCATACAGTCCCACGTACACATTGAAAACTGTGACTTGAGTGACCCTACTGCATACCTATAAAAGAAGACCAGTGAAAGTGACCAGATCTAAATAGAAAGTCATCTTCTTAAAAACCTGGATGCATACCCTACTCTTCAAGCAATTTGTGTTCAAATAGAAACATGATGAATACAAGAAAGCAAATAGAATTTTTATTTTAACTCCTTGCCACTTTGATGTTTGATTGTCAACTAATTTCTCAGGACTCTCTGAGAGTCCTGAGGTTTGCACTGATTATATAGATCACCTATGGGATCTGAGATTTTTTTTTTTGAAGATTTCTCAGTCCTGAATACATAGGATATATACACATATGAACTCAAGCTGGTATAGACTGCATTTGGACACTTCTAAACCTAGCTATCATTCTGCTTGAAAATGAACGGTCTAACGTTTTTATGTCACAAGAATAGAGTGCTGTACAGTGCTAGACATATACACACGTACTTAATAAACAGTAACTGAGTAAACTGGAGCCTTCTTTTGAGTGAAGATCGTAAAGAATTTCAGCAATATCCTTAGAGATGTCAAACTGGTTAGAGGGTGTGCTGCTTGGATGGATAAGACAGAATTTGCTGTTCTTACATGTACACGCTTTCCCACATTCTATATGAGTGGTAGATTTTCTAGGTAATGGATGATGGCAATTCAAGAAAATATGTAATAACCTTGATTTCAGTGAGACTGAATACAACGAGTACTAGAAAGAGAAAGAAGTCTGTCTTAACCTGAAGTATCTTGTGGAAACACTTCAGGCAGCCTCATCTAGTTACATGCATATCCGAGCTCCTCATTCTACGTATCATCGTTTATATATATTATTCTTTCCTAGTTATGCTGACAATAGGTACTAAGGGGATATAAGACCATACAAACGTTCAAAGGACCAGAAATAAATGATGGCTCCTTAGATTTTAACTAGTCAGTTAAATGAGGAAGCTGAACTCATCATTCTGGAAACTCCTCATGAATTTTTGCTTAAATCCTCTTGGTATACAGAAAACTCCAGCAGAACAATTCCATTCTTAGTGTAGATTAGTTAGTAGAAAATGTAACTAGCTGAATTTATTATTGGGGAGGCATCTATATTTGTATGCCAGGACATACAATGCTAGGAGAATGTTCATGACATCACTTATATGTCACAGCAAAACCTAGAACAACTCCAGTACCCACAACAGTGCAGTGGACAAATAACTTGTGTTTTAAGCACAGAATAGAATATTACAAAGCAGTCATAATAAATGAACCTTAGCTAAATATAGAAAAATGGATGAATCATAGCAATATAATTTTGCAAAAAAAGTCTAAAAGATCACATGTCATATATCACATATTATATCATTATACTCTTTTAAGAAAGTAAAACCAATTAAAACCAAAACATAATTTTTAGGAACACATATATTTGGTGAGAGTACATAAAAAGGAAACCAACCAAATAATGAACACTAGTTATCAGGGCTAGATAGGGAAAGACTACACAGAGAAATTTAAGTTACTATCAATGCTAGAGTTTTACAGTTGGGAGGTAATTTCATGGGTATTTATTATTATGGATAATATATTATAGAGGTAACAGGACTTGCAAGAGGGTATCCCAGAAAAAGAAAGAATGAATGATGACTCTTAGATAGTTTAGAGTCTATACAACACAATTACCCTTTCTTACAACAAGTTAAATATTATTTTCTACTGTGTCATAACATCTAATACAATGTTAGCAAATTAATAATTTTCGGTTGAAAAAAAGAAAATTATAGCACTGTCTCGTTTTATCTTCTACCTTTACCTTATTCACCCCCTCAGTGCCAAATAACTTTAAGTTGTTTTCAGAAATTAAATTCATTTTCAAAGGAAAAAGGCAGTGTTCCTACTGAGAATGCAAAAAAAGAAAAAGGGCACACAGATTTTAAAAGCAGTTTTTAAAGGGGCTCTAAAATGTTTGAACAATGAAATATATGCTTTGCCTTCTAAATAATCAACGTTAAGAAACTGGTTTAAAAAAACCAGATTCATTACCTGGAACGGAGAACTTCCCCAAGGTAGACCAAGAACATTGCCTTCTAGAAGCCTAGCATTCCACAAGCACTCTCATAATCTGTTGAATGGAAACGCAAACTTTAGACTAAAGGACTGCTTTCTAAGGAAAAACAAGAGTACAGCGCCCTCTGGTGCATTGTATCAGAGGGTTTTGATTTTTTTTTTATTTCCTTTTCTTTAAGGTTTTAGGGTCCACATGTTCAACTTACAGTATTGTAAATGTTCCAATGATTGAGAAATAATAGTACAATTATAATAGTATGATTATAATCTATCATAAAATAATATTATGATTATAATACATACTTAAAAGTTATGTCAGGTTTTAGGTTCAATGACTAAATTAATTAGGGAAATAAATCAATTATTATTTAGAAAAGATTTTTCGTTTTCTTCAGGAAAATAATTTAATGGGAGAACAAGTGGCCAATTTAAGAAGCCAAGCCATAGAAGAATTCTTATATCCTTATACAACATTGATCACATTTAGTGGCATAACTTTACAATCTGCCTATCTTCCGGATATTTAGTACAATACAAATGAGAGTAAGGCTCATAAGGAAGGAAAAACAAAACTTTGAGATTCCTACTTTTGTGCCTCTTCAGTACAACCTACAACAGAACCTTTTCATTCATTTTCTCCATTTATTTTTTGCCCACGAAATTATCCTTTTCCAAAACGCTCTAACAAATGCAAATAAATATTTTTAACATGGACAAATTTGCTTACAGAACTAAAGTGTTTTTCAAAGGCTAAAGCTTGAAATCCATCTAATATCAAATTCATTCATTCATCTATAATCCTCTAACCTTAAGTAAACAGTGCTTTTCATTGTCTTCCAAAGTAAATGGAGACATTTTCATTGATTAATCATCAAAAATATGCTGTATTTTCTTGTCTTGTTTTGGCTCTCCTAAAAATGTTTGCTTTTCGGTTTGTCAACTCAGTAAGTCAAACAAACCATGGTCATTTAATTGAGCTCAACAGTTAGGTTTTACTCTGTAGATTAGGAAGATAGGCAGATTGTCACTATAGTGCTGAGTTCACTAGGTTTTACTCCTGGGTCACTGAAGACCAGTTAGAGGAGCAATTTCTCACGTGATATAAAAAAGGCCACTGGTACTCATTGTATCTGCATGCTAGTAGGCTACAGGGAGAGACTCCCCCTTGAGCTCTCTCCTCCCGTCTGTTTTGCTTCTTTACACTCCAGTGCAAACACCACTGGCACTGTCACCTTACCATTCAGGTACGTATACGCCCACCTCCCTGCTCCACTGTATCATGTTCAAGTAATGCCAGGTGAGAGCAGGTTTATCTCTTCAGTATTTCCACCGTCACTCTGCTCTCCAGACAGCCTAATCCCCCCAATCTCAGTTAGGCCATTTCCTTTGTTTGTCCTGTTTTACTAATCAGACTTTAAGTTCCCTATGATATACTGCTTCTGCACTCCCCTCAAATCTTAAGGTCATAAATTATATGATTTGCAATAGTAATAACTGTCTTTAAGGAAATGGTTTTTTATTTTAGCCAACATATCAGCTCCACCAGCATGTATTGAGTTAGTACACATCAGGGTACATTAGTTAATGTACATTAGTACCCACCCTGTTCTGATAGTTTCATACTCAAAAGTGAGTAAGATGAGATGCCTGTTTTTACGGAACTCACCGTGAGAAAGACTGTGGTGCAGTGGTGAGAATGTATGTACAAGTGCAGTCTCTAAATAAAGGGATATAAAATATACTATTTTTAAAAATGATCACTTACAAATCACCATGTATTCTAATTCCTTTAATAGAAATTAGTTTAAAAATATTTAAAATGTATTTAGTGTTTTAGAAATATATTTTTAAAATGAAATTTCTTGACTAGAGATACTCAAAACTGGAAAATAATGAACATATCTCTAACTTTTTTTTAGTCTGTTTTTGCAGAAGGAAATTTAAGATATTGGAAGGGAGGACTTACGGGAACAAGTGTGAAAAAGAGAGTACTTAAGTAATATTTATTGAGTGCCTACTGTGTGCTGAATATTATGCTAGGTGCTAGGGATACAACAATGAGCAGAACCAAACAGTCATCTTGCATGGATGGAGCGTACAGTGCACGTAATAAGCAGATAATCATTCAAGTAAATTACAAATTACAAACTAAGTCACGGGGTGCTGAGGGTCACAGAGGCTCCCCTGAGACAATGACATCTAAGAGAAAGAGCTAAGGGAGCAAAGAGAGTGATCTAAGTAGAAAGAAGAATGTGTACACATGTCCTGGGACTAGAGGGTGCACGGCTGTCCTAAGGACCTGAAGGACATGGAGCAGAAGGGCAAGGGGCAGCTTGGTTGAAAATGAGGCAGTGAAGCAGGGAGAAGCCAGACCACGGAGAGTCTTGTAGGTCATCTTAAGGACATATCTTCCTCCTAATAGTAATACATAGCCACTAAAGAGTTTTGTATGAGTTAAACTGTATGATCATTTCTGCAAAGCATTGTTCCAGGTACATAGTAGTAAGTTAGTTAATGCTGATTCCTTCCCAAACACACTCAGGAAAATTTACTATTTATCTAAGTAGTATATTCAATCCATTAGCAACCATTGTATCTTATAATTGAATTAGCATTATTTAATTTTAATCTAATGGCCACTTTCTCCCAAGTTAATAAAGTAGAATTCAGAGTGCATTAGAAATTATAAGTTGTTTACTGAATCATAATGATCTTACATAGTGCTAAAAATTAAGTACATTTAAGTCAGCCTCTGTATCTATATTTTGATTTTAATATTTTTAGTACTTGTTATTTTATAAAATATATTAATACCAAGGTGAAACAGAAGCATTTAAAGCAACATAAAGTTTTAAATGTCATAATTTATGGACTTCAAAGCTCAATATCATAAATTTATTTAAGCAAGCTAAAATACGCCTTCAAGGAAGGCTCCTTTAAGGAGCTCATCTAGAAAGCACCCGCCAGTTTTTAGCTTATCAACTATCTAATCCACAGTACAGTGTCTGTGTCTACGGGAGATTTCTGGCTTTTCAAATTTCTCACTTTTTCAAATGTTTCTGCTACAATCCCTTAAGACAGTTTGCAAATAATAAAATATTTTACCTGGAATATTTTGGCAATGCATCTTAAAATTTACATTTGCATAGCCAGAAAGAAGTTATCTTCACTGATTTTTTTTAAAAAACTTAAGGATCTTCGGTGGCCAATTATCAGACAGGCATGACGTCAAGGAACCATATGCTTCCCAGGTATTTGGAGACTTCCGTGTGAATTCCTTCTAGGGTAAAATCATCAGGGATCAAAACTTCCTCCATCACAGAGAGCTGGGTTAGCCTTTTCCCACACAATCCCACAAGCTCAGTGAATGCTCTGCAGCTGGCTTCACACTCACTGAGGCCCACGGCTGTTAAGGTTGTGCAGTGTTCGCCAATACGAGTAAGTTCATCAAGAGTCTGAAGACCATCAGCACATGCCACTGACTCAACGAATCGCTGACCAGTGAGGCTTATCCATCCTAGAACTGCTTTGCTTACTGAACGGCCAAAATAAAGGTGAGTAACAGGGGTTTCTTCTCTGAAGAATGTCTCAAATTCCTCTTCATATAAAAAGAAGTACATAACAACATTAACTCCAGGGGAGTGTTTAATAAGTGCATCCCAACTTGGTTTTTTAATAGAGTGAAATTCAATTTGTCCAGGATTTTCACTCACAACATCAATTCGAAGATGCTCAAGGTTAACATGAGTCTCACTCGAAAGTGCTAGGAGAAGCTCATCACTTAGAATGTAATAATTCAATGCCAGTTCTCTAAGGCCTTGACAATGGTCAGCTACACAAAGGATTCCTGCAGGAAAGGGGGGATAAATTCTGAAGAACAAAGAATCATATTGATACTAACATGACATTTTATAAATTTAAATTTGATATTAGTTATTCATTATTTGCTCAGGTATCTAATGATTTCTGAGAAGATGGATGAGACAGACATACATACATAAAATACTCTTGGGAGAAGCAATTTAAACTATATCTACCTTGCAAATTAAAAATTCTTTTGAAAAAAGATTCCTTTAATAAATCGTGTTTCATAAGCATGCAGTTTTCAATATGAAATTGCTCTGTTACTATTATTATAACAACAAGCATCATACAAGCTTAAAATGTATAACCTACCATCAGATGAAACATGAGGACAGCTACTCATTTTTAGAAGTCTTAGCGTGTCACTATTATTGGATACAAGAATCTTCAATGAAGGATCATCCATTGGTGAGTCTTCAATTTTGACGGAAGATTTTGAGTTGACAAAAACAAGTGTAAGTGCTGACACAAAATGAGAATTGCACAGCAATAAGAAAAAAAATTATGAAAACATTATTTAAGAATCCACAGCTTCAATAAATTCATTAAAACTATATCAATATATGCTAACAATAACATAGTAAAGCATTCAACATACTACTGTTTTTTACAGTACCATTAGTCAGTAGAAGACATTTTTATAACAAAGTATACTTTTATACTTTCATAATTGATAAATGGAATGGTGAGAAAGGAAGACATTTCAAAGATTTCATATCTTTGAATTATGATTTTAACATATCTTCTAATTATTTTTAATCTTAATGATTTGCTTTTTAATATTAAAGGGATAGAATTCTATTATTTCCTAGAACAGGGGTTGGTAAATTATGGTCTGGAAGCCCAAATCCAGCCTATAGTCTATTATTATATGTTAAGATGGAGTTAAGAATGGCTTTTACATTATTAAATGGTTGAAAAAAAATTTAAAGAGTAGTATTTTTGTGATATGTGAGAATTATATGAAACTCTTTCAAGTGTCCATAATTAAACTTGAATTGGAACACAACCAAGCTCCTTCATTTTCATATTGTCTGTCTGCTTTCATACTACAACACTAAAGTTGAGTACTTGCAGGAGAATCACAGCCCATAAAGCCTAAAATATTTACCATCTGGACCTTTTCAACCCAGGCCATTGAAGAAACAGAATCTTTATCTGTTCCATTCAGTGCTGTATTTCCAGCACCTAAAATAGTATCTGGCACACAGTAGGAGGTCAGCAAATATTTGTTGATGAACAGACAAGTAATAAATGATGACATATTTTTCAATGACATGTTTTTTGCCAGCAAATTATCTGAAGATAAGTTTTGAAAACTATGTTTGAAGATTGACCAACTAAAGCTTATTTAGTTTGACCCTAGAATGGGTACAATTTCACAAGTTTTCAGATCCAGCATTTTTTTGTCAACAGAGAAAAAGTTGGATCCATGCATGATCATTTTTTCTTTTTCAAAATCAATTTGAATTCTACCAATGGGTCTTACCATCCCTATCAGAATGACCAAACTTGCTATAAATCTAAATTCACTTCTAAGAAAATGTACTGCTTTATATTCATTGTAAACTGATTCACACAAAATTTTAAACAGTGAACTACTAGAATTTTTTCCTAAATTTCATGGTGCCAAAATTATTTGAAAAATATAAACATATCACTCTTTTTCCTTATGAAATATAAGGTTTATTTTCCCTTTAATCAACTCTCAATGGACTCTTTTAGTCCTGAAGGACACATTTAAGCATTAGAGTACATATTTTACTATAGTAACCATGTAATCATTTAGCACCTTTTATGCCTAGCAAAATTCTGTACTTCCATTTTATTTTTCCTCAATTTAAAATTGAAAAAACAGGCTCAGAGATATCCACAACTCTTGCCAGACACAGAACTCATTTTACTGTGGAGACAGAGCTTAAAATGAAACCTGCTAACTGCTGGTGGTGTCTCACTCTGGTGACCGCATCAGCTAACCTGCAATCTGGCCCTGAAAGCTGATGTGCAATATTCAAGGCAGCTTAGAATATAAGAATTTCAGGCTAACCTGATTCCGTCATTCATAAACAAGGAAATAACGATTTAGAAGTAGTAGGTTTTCATCTATTATTTGTATTACTCTACTACCCAAATGACCCATTTTTTTCCAGCATATCTCTTAAAAAAGATAAACAGGCTAGCAGAAATGCTTCCTAAAAGAGAGCCATGACCTAGTTGATGAGAGAGAGGACGCTCCTTTTCCTCTATCATTTTCTACAGAAAGGTCTCTACTAGCCAGTTTTAGTGACAACCATAATCTAGTGTTTATTATATTTCAGGTACTACTCTAACTCTGCAGTTATAAAGGTAAATATACAAGATAAAAACCCTGCTTCCAAGGAGCTTACGTTCTGGTCTGGGAAGAAAAGAATAAACATGTTAAATAAATAAGGTAGTTTCAAGTACTAATGAGTGATATAAAGAAAGTATTGTAATATAGTAGAAAGTAACTGGAGGAGGTGGTGCTATTTAAGCAAAAATAGTCAAGGAAGCCCTGTCTAAGGGGATGGCATTCAAGTTGAAGCAGTGAAGAGAAGACAGTTACTAGTTTCTGCAGCAGAGACTGCTGGTTGCGCTTACCCTTTCTTCTTTGGTAGTCTAGCCCCAGTGTTTAGCTGGGCACATCACCACCCCATTAAAAGACTTTTTCCTAGTCTTGCGGAAATCTGGTGTGGCCACCAAGCTAAGCTCTGACGAATGAGACAGAAACAGAAGCATTAGGTGGTACTTAGGGTTAGTCTCCCTGAAAAGGGGAGGGCATACCCTTCTTCATCCGCTTCTTACATCCAGCTGGCCAGATCAGGATGTGGCGGCTGGGGCTCAGAAAGCCATCTTGCACAACGAAGATGAAGAAAACACCTTGGAGAAAATGGAGTGTCTGGAAGGAGCTTGGGTTCCTAACAACTTTATACCAGCTATGGTCTGCCTCATGTGTGCATTACTTTAATGTAAGAGAAGTAAGCTTCAATCATGTTTTTTAAGCCACTATTTTGGAATTTCGATTACATAGATACAAACATAATCCAAACTAGTACATTTCATTTAGTTAAATATTACATTGTTCCACCTCCAATGGAAAGGCTATAGAATTACATGAAAAACATTCACTTTTGGCCCTACACACTCTATATTCAAAGAAACTAATAAGTAAACTGAGACACTTCAAAATCCTACATATAACATCTACATTTTATATTAATGACATCTACTGTGGAATGAAACCATGCATAAGCTATTTCAGCAAAAAGTAAGTGCTAGTCAACAGAAAACTGCTTTAAATAATTCTTAGAATACAAGTAGGAGTTTGTTTTTTGTTTAGGAAAAGAACCCTTTTGTGTAATTTGCCAATATTTAAGAATTTTAGTATATCTCACGAAAAAGCCTAGTGTCTTTACCTTGGACAGATTCATAAAACTTTGCTTCGTCGTTGAAATCAAGCCCAAAGTCCGGATAGAACAATTTACCAGCTGAGAAAGTATATCACAGGCTGTTTCTGCTGATTCAGTACTACTATCAACCTATAAAGACCATTTTAATCTTAATTTCCTGAAGGTAACTTACCAGAAAGTTACTGGCAGTATAATGATTTATAGAATTGTAAACTGTATTTATCCCTTCAAGCTATAAAACAAATTAGCATTTTCTCCTTTATACAAAATGTCTGAGATAAAACGTGAGGAGAGATGATGACAAGTAACTAAGTGCTCCCTACTTACAAACCCTTGACAATTACTTGAATTTTAATAATAGCACCAAATGAAGGAAAGTGAAGTGTAAATTATTTGATTATATATAGCGCAAGTTCTACATCTTAATCTATGCAAATACTTACAAATCTGGATAAAAATTCTGCAAAATTCAAGGACTGCTTCAATATAAGGATCTAGATATAAAAAAATGTGTTCACAAAGTATGTCGCTGTTTCTATTTAATGCTTATTTTCCTCACCTTAAAGCTGACATACTGGAGATGGGCAGCATGCTTTTCAATGATCTGCTGAATGAGACTGGGATGAGTGGACTTAAAATACGAAGTAGCTGACGGGTTCAGTTCGAATTCAAACTTTCTCCAAAGGTCAGGAATAGGAAAAACTTCATTCCATCTCTTACATACAGAAGATGCCCGGGCCCGATCTACTAAAGGAAGATACTGGAAAATGCATAATGCTACATGTGAGGGAAACTCCCCCAGTCTAGAACAGGGGACGTCTGAGTCTGGTTGAGAGAAGAATAGAATCCAAGCCATGAAGCTGGTGAAGGCTGGACAGTTTTATCCACGAGAGATAAATTGCTCCTCTTCATTCTATGAACATTAAAAAAGGTGAAGTGAAAAGTTTCCCCATGTTTCCATCATATATTTGTGCTCTAATTGTAAACAAAGACATTAGAAAATAAAAAACAGTTTAATACAATTTTAATAGTAGTCTTCCACTTTCATGCATGACAGGCACTGCTACGGGCTAGGGAAACAGAGATGAAGAAGAGGGAGCCTGTTCTCGAAGAACCATGGCCAAATGGTGAGATACTGACATAAATGTCACTGAGACTGGGACAGCTGCATTGGAAGAATAAGGTAACGGCATGTGACTTGAGTTCGTGAGTGGGAGGGAATGGCTGGGGAGGCTTCCAGCAGAAAATGGCCCAGGAAGGAGTGAGTCTATGTAGCCAGTTTATTCCAGGTCAGCTATTGTGTTTTCACTGTCTCCTACAGAGAAGACACATCACACTGCAATTGTGCTAAAAACTTTTGAAGAGTATGGGAGACAGTAAATCATAATTAAGAGCATAGGCTGGATAAGCCCCAGCTGGGCCATTCACTAACCATGTGATCTTGTTCAAGCACATTCATTTGAGCCTCAGTTTCCTCATCTGAAAAGCAGGGAGCACAGCAGTACCTCTCTCATAAGGTTGTTGTAGCGGTTCAAGTACCTTAAGTGCGAGCACACAGTAAGTGCTCAACAAATGTGGCAGTGGTTGTTATACTAAATTGTCCAATGCATTTTTCTCAACTAATTTCATTACTTAAGTCGAAGTACAATTCTAACAAAAAGTCAAATAATCTGTGACGATTTTCAGATGGCACCCAGGGCACAGGAGCTCTAGAGAAGCTGGACATGGCAGACAGCGTCTGTGTAAGCAATATACCTGACCCTCACCAGCCAAGGAAAAAGAGCAAAGGAATAAGCATTCTTACCCAACAAAAAGAAATGATGAATCTCCAGGTATTAGTCAACTTGAGATACAACTAAATTCCAACAAATTTCCAGTCCAGCTATAACCAAGTATATAGGGTTACCTTGTCATGTATTTTATGTAAGAATCCAAAGTATTTTTAAGTATACAATTATTTGAGAGGCAAAATAATGGTAAGAGTGGTTCTGAACTTCAACTTGGACTACTTAGCCCTCTCTTCAACCTTCAATGTTAGAAATGTATCTACAGAAGATTCAGTGTCATAATTGAAACATGCCCTTCAAATCTAATGTAATATTTATTTAATAATTTATTTAATATGTACACATTTCTGTCTTGTGAGTCACTCTAATTTGAAACATTTCTTAACCACAACATATTTGAGTTGGAACCCAGAATAAGGACTGACCTAAACAGTCACTGAACAAAATGAAAGATTATATTTAAAGTTTGGAAAACAAAAATGGAGAACAAAAATCACTGCAAGGCTGTATCACAAGCATATCTCAAGCTTCAAAAGATCCACTACAATTTTAGTCTGATTCAACCAGTTACATGCATACCTGAGCGTAAGTCCAGCAACACAATATAGACTGTATGAAGCTGCTGACATCAGTAATTCAAACATCTTCAAAATATGTTATTTTCAAAGGGCCCAAGTAAGGTAGGGGAATGAATACTAGATCCTGAACTCTGATGTGGAGCACATTTATTCACATTTTGCTTTTAAGTGTTTTGTTTAGTAGCCTACAGAATGGATAATTAAAATTTCTAAATTATTACAAAAAAAGTTACCCCTAATATAATTCCTCACTAGAAAAGGAGTGAAGCCAAAAATAAAGCAATGATTCCATTCAAATGGCAGGTTAGGAAACTGCCTTGTAGTTCTAAACAAAGGAACTGTGCTATATATTACATCTGACTGTATATGACATAAACTGATTTTAAAACTGTTTAGTAAAAAATTAAAATGCCAATCACTGATAGAATCACCATAACCAACAAATATGTGAATATCAATAACCCTATTAAAAACAACATTTTAATATTTTTCTATGTGTGCATTAACTTTCAGAGCATAAAACTCATCTACAAATCATAATTTTATATAATTTCATAGCCATGAACATCAGTAAAATATACTTTAGAATGCAAGTCAAACTGACCTTTACTAGCTTGAAAACCTTGATATGTAAAAATTCTAACCTAAACAAATATGATCATTTAAAATAATTGATCATTTCTTCTTCAAACTATCAATTTTCTTACCTAAATATGGCTTCCAAATTATAGTTCACTCTCAACAAATGAAAAAACTGCTGCCATGGGATACTCATCAACATCCACTGATTTCACTTCCAAGCTTGGCAAAATACCACAAAAACACATTCATCAGAATGTGTAAATAAAACCCAATAATTTTTATACTTAGGATACTTACAAATCATTGTATTACACTGTTGTGTTTTATCAGAAAATTACTGATTCCCCAACTATTTTTCTACTCAGAAGGAAACCTGTCCATTAAAAGAACAAAAACAAAAAATAACAACATAACCTGGTTAGTGAAAATATTGTAACTTGCCAGAAATTACATTTGAAGTTCTACTAAGATAGAAAACTGTAGCTCTAACAGTCAAAGAGCTCTGAAAATTCACATTTTAATGAACATGTATGGAGAAATATTACAAAAACTTAAGGTAGTCCATGATTACACTTGGTTTGTAGGCTGTATTATTAACCTTTTAGTTTCAATTTTAACAGTGCATAACACCACTACAGTTATAATAAGCAGACATATAACTTACATTATTTATCATTCCCATATGAACATAGTTTGTTTGACTAGTCTGTTAACAGAATATATGCCTTTGTGGTTTAAAATCTTTAATTTATAGTGATGGATGTAACTGATTCATTCATATTCTCTTTGAGGTTCAACCAATTTTAGGCACAGTGACTTGTCCGTTAGGAGCAGTCTATGGACGTGGAACAAAATAGTAATAGGTCTACACGAGGATAAAACTCACTGCCTCAGCATCATGATTAAATGTAAAATAAATATATAAATTCATTCTACTATTGTAAGTCATTTTCAACTACACAGAGGAGGTGGAGAAGGCAACCTATTAATCCACTAAAAACTTCTCTTAAACCTCTACGGCCTGCCAACTGCCAGCTCTCATTTTCTCCGAATCCTGTTCCTAAATTAGAGCTTTGGAGGATAGACAGGGAGAATATATTTGAGCTCACTACCAACAACTTGATTTTCCCACTGCGACTTGTTGTTATTCAAACCACTATTTCACAAACAATGGCAAGGCTGGCGTTCCTCACTTTACATTCCACAACAGAAGTCCGTCAAAAGGAGCTATCAGGCACACTTTCAGAGGAACATCACAAATAAGAGAAAGACAAATCAAACGACTTCTACTCCTCTCATCAGATAACACACAATTTTATTTACTATAGCAACTTCTCTGCTGAATTATCAATATGACTAATTCTGTGTTTGCAGGCTATTTGTTACGTCAGAGAATACTGCAGTGATCTGGTAAAGATCTGTAAATAGGCAATCACCAAGACCTGTGTAAGAAGATGGTGAGCAAGTACCTATTTCAGATTCAGTTGCTAGTCTTCAGGATCAGAGGAATTACTTCCTTGGTAATTATGGAATTTTGAGGGACAGCAGAAGACAAAACTAGAACATAGGACCCCATCAAATGGTAAGCCATACCTCCAAAAAGGGAAGCTGAGCAAGCTTGACAATTATGTTGAGCACAATTCTAGAGTCCTGAACAGGTACGCACTTGGCAAACAATGTAATGATGACTCAAAAGTCCATTTAGTGGTTTCACCAACCACTCTAACCAATTTCCTTTTTTGGTATGTTTACTAATTTGGTGGATCAGGTGACCATGTGAATTGGATCCTCTAAAAGTATTTAAGAAATCTACAACAGTGTTCCTGAAGAAAAGATGATCAAAAAAAGACAGATGAAAGACTGAACACTGAAAGTCAATCTGGTGACAGTAGTGGAAGCAACTATGTTCTGGACCATCACTGGATTCTTCCAGATTGAATATACAGAAAGTGCTTTGAAAAGCTTCAAGTTTCAATTGTCACAACACTAGAAATACTGTGTAAATACCACAGGTAACAGAATAAAGATTCAAAACTATCTAAAAGACTGGACAAATTTGTTGGAAGCAACAAGATGAAAATGAACAGAAATAATTACCAAATGCGCTTTATTTAAGCTACTTTCTAAAAGAGCACACTGAAAAATCAGATCGCTGTTACCACAGGCAGATGGCCTCTGCTGAGTCTGAAATTCCAGTCTTTGGTACAATGGCAAGGTGTGGCTTAGACAGAAAGCTGAGGATTTGCTCCAAAAGACAGCTTTAAAACACATAGCTTTCTAATAAAAGAGCCAATTACACCAAGGGAAATATTTCTTCCCACTAACTATAACCCAAGCAGAGATCAAAACAGTTATTTTACGGATGTTGTAAAAAATATTTATGTTCTTTGCAGCCCACGGGACCTCTAAGGTGCCTTCTAAATCTAAAAGCTATAATTTTTAAAAATATGAAACTCAATTTACAGTTCCATCAAGATTTCAAGAGGACAAAAGATAAGTATTTATATCACACAAATCTTTCCTAACGCAGCAAATGCAGCTTTTTCGTGTTCATATTTTATCCGTGATTTAGCAATTTTCTACACTCTCAAAAGTCTCTCTGTGCTATTAAGATATCTTTACTTGAAAAAATAAAACATTTCATTTTAGAATAGGTATGTTTGCTTTCAATAACATGAAAACTTAAGTTTTCAAAGTACATGCAGATTCAAAACACCTTCTGGGATGCAAGGAGAGGGTTACACGGAACTTGAATTGGGCAATTGGTCAAAAATCCCTAAGTGAAGGGGGAAAGGAGGCTTCGGGCAGCTGCTTCCCTCTCGCCCTCTCCGCCTCGCCCACCTGACTGGCACAGGAGGGGAGCGGGGCGCCCAGCCAGGTCCTCTCCGAGGCGGCCTTCTGCGACGGGAAGAGGCCCATCTTGGTGGTGCGCACATCAAGGGATGTAACAGTCAATACAAAGGATTCAAGGAAGCATTCAGCAACATTTCTAAGAGAAAATTATAATTTATCCAACGTCGGATTTTGGGAAAAATTTTCTGCGCGTGTGTGTATTCCGAGGACAAGAGCGGCGCACCTTAAAGAGCATAGCTTCTTCCAACTCACTGCAAAGGTCTGAGTGTGCTTTTCTCTTGGACATTTCTCTGCGGCAGATATAACCCCCCCACGAGGTCCCCCCGTGACCTACAGCACTTCGCAGCGGGGCCAAAGCGACGGCGGGCGGCCGTCGGCACGGCGTTTCCCGGGCTACACGCACCTCGCGGTCCTGGGGCGTGGAGACGCGTACAGCGCTTACAAGGCCCACCATCCGGAGTCAGGGGACCCGGGTCCCGGGCTGGGCCCTGCAGAAAAACCCGCGCGGCGCTAAAACCCGACAGACGGCGCACCCTCGGGGCAACTCCAGGGCCCAGGCCCGGGCGGGAGTGGGGCCGCTCCCCGTGGGGACCCCCGCGCGCCCGCCTCAGGCGGCCCACGGGTCGGGAGCGCCCCCAGCCCCAAATGCCAGGTCACGGCTCCCGGTCCGCGCCCACCACGGCGCCTCTCCGCCTCCGGAACACCGACACTCTGAGGCAGGGCCCGGGCGCCGCCAGTCGAGGCATGCTCCTCGGGACCACCGCACCCGCAGGCGGAAACGCTACCTTTAAACCCGCAAGCGCTGCGCCCGGCGGCGGCAGCAAGACACGCACCCCCGACGGCGCTCCGCGTGGCTGCGCCGGAACTGGTGGCGTCTGGCCGGGCGACCACCCCGGAGCCCGCCCGCATCCCCCAAGCCGCCCCGCCCCGGCCGCGCCCCCGGCCCCCTGGCCACGCCCCCAGGCCCCCACGCATGCGTCCAGCTCCGCTCTCCGCCGGAGGCCCGCGAGCGCCCGCGCCCGCGCCCACCGGCTCAGGGGTCCCGGGGCCGCCCTTTAGGCGGCGTGTGGGAGGGTTTCTGCTTTTTGGTCTTCAACAAATCTGTGTGCCCACCTGCGCCGTAAAACAGACGGCCGGCCAACCAAATGCCAGTGAATTTACAGCTCCAGTTTCTGGAACTTAACCTCCCGGAAAGTGCACCCCTTTATTGGTATACAAATACTTGAAAGGAAGGTTAAAATATCAAAAGTGATGACAGGTCACTGTTAAATATATGTATTTATACATATATACATACATATTGTATATGTACACACACACGCACACACACACATACACACACACCTGTGCCACAGCTCATTCCCTGGCATAACCATTGCAATAATTAATTGCGTAACTACAGGCCTTCAATGCATACAGAAAAATGTATACAATGAGAAGTAAGGATTTTATTACTTTTTTCTTATTCCTTAGTTTTTCAAAATCTGAGAGTATATGTAATGCTCTGGAATTTCTTTTTTGTTGATTATATCATGGACATAGTTCCATATTAACACACATAGTTCCTCCTCACAGTTTTTGTTTTTTTACAAACAGCTTTATACCAGTTGAGGTATAATTGACGAAATTAACTGTGCATACTTAAAGTGTACAATTTGATAAGTTTTGACACCCTTGAAACCATTGGTACAATCAAGATAATGAGCACGTGCCTATCTCCCAAATGTTTCCTTAGGCCCTTCTAATAGCTCCTTCAACTCCCCTCCCACCTGCTTTGTGACATGTAGTTTGTATTTTCTTGAAGTTTAACATAAATAAAATCATACAGTATGTACTATTTCTTTATCTAGCTATTTTCACTCAGCATAATTGTATGAGATTCATTCTGTTGTTGCATGTATCACAGTTGATGTCTTTTTATTGCTGAGTACTATTCCATTGTATGACTGTACCACATCTTTATCCATTTACCTGATAACAGACATTCTGGTTATTTGGGGCTATTATAAATAAAGCTGCTATGCACGTTATTGTACACATCTTTATGTGGACATATATCTTCATTTCTCTTGGGTAAATACCTAGGAGTGGAATGGCTCCTTGTATTATATAATAGATATATGTGTACCTTCTAAAAAGGACTGCCAATGTGTTTTCCAAAAAGGCCAGTGTACATTCCCACCAGCAGTGCGTTAGAGCTCCATTTTCTCCACATCTTCACCTACAATTTTTAATCTAAATGGTGTCTGGGGATATCTCAATGCAGTTTTAATTTACATTTCCCTAATGAATAATGCCGAGCATTTTTTCATGTACATGTTTACCATCTATCCATCTTCTTCAGTGAGGTGTCTATTCAAATCTTTTGCCTAAAATTTTAATTGGTTGTTTGTATTCTCATTATTGATTTCGGAAAATTCTATATATTCTAGATATAAATCCTCTATCCAATATATGACTTGTAGCTTTTTCCCAGTCTATGGCTTATCTTTCTACTCTCCTTTGAAGAGCAGAAGTTTTCGTTTTGATAAAGTTCAATTTATCACTTTGTTCTTTTATGGATCATTATGTCAAATCAAAGACATATTCGCTGAAGTCAACTTCACAAAGGTTTTCTCCTATGTGGTTTATAATTTTAGATTTTACATTTAGGCATATGACTCATTTGAGTTAACTTTTGTGTAGGTGCAAGGTATGAACCAAAGTTCACTTTTTTGTATATGCATACCCAATTATCCCATCACTAGCTTTTGAAGAGACTATTATCTTTCTCCACTGCATTGCCTTTGCACCTCTGGAAAATCAATTGTTTATGTCTATTTTTAGATTCTCTATTCTGTTTAATTGATATAGTTGCCCATCTCAATGCCATTATCACACTGTCTTGATTTCTGTAACTTTATAATTATTGGCATTAGGTAATTTTAGACATTCAACTTGTTCTTTTTAAAGTTCTTTTGGCTATTCTATATGCTTTGCCTTTCCATATGAATTTTAGAACCATCTTGTCAATATCTATAAAAAAATCTAGCTGATATTTTGCTAGAGATTGCTTTGAACATAGAGATGAATTTGGGAAGAACTGACATCTTAAAAACATTGAGTCTTCAAACCCATGAGCACAATATATATCTTCATTTATTTAGATCTTCTTTAATTTTGCATAGTAATGTTTGTAGTTTTCATACAGGTGTTGCAAGTATTTTGTCAGGCATATCCATAGATGTTCTTAGATTTTCTTTAATGCTATTGTAAATAGTATTGTTTTTAAATTTTAATTTCTAATTTTTTGTTGCCAGTACATAGGAATACAATTAATTTTTGTATATTAATTTTATATCTTGCAACTTTGCTAAAATCACTTATTAGTTCTAGGAGCTCCCATTGGAATCTGGTACATTCCATTGGATTTTCTATATAAACAATCATGTTGTGTGTGCATAAGACAGTTTTACTTCTTCCTTTCCAGTATAAATGCTTTTTATTTCTTTTCCTTGCCTAATTGTACCCACAATACAATGTTGAATAATAGTGGTAAGATCAGATAATTCTTGGCTTGTTCCTGACCTTAGGGGGAAAGCATTCAGTCTTTAACCATCTAACCTATAGGCTTCTCATAGATAACCCTTCAGGCTAAGGAAGTTCCCTTCTTCTATTCCTACTTTGTTGAAAGCTTTTTTAAAAAAATGAATAGTGGATGTTAGATTTTGTCAAGTGCTTTTTCTGTATCTATTTAGATGGCCTTCTGGTTCAAATGATGAATTACATATTGTTTTTCAAATATTAAGCCAACCTTGCATTCCTAGGATAAATGTCATTTGTTTATAATTCATTATCTTTTTATCTATTGTTAAATTCAATTTGCTAAACTTTGTTCAGAATTTCTACATCTGTGTTCATGGAGGATATTGGCTTGTAATTTTCTTTTCTTATAATATCCTTGTCAGATTTCTATATCAAATAATACTGGCTTCATAGAAAAGTTACGAAGTACTTCCTCCTCCAGTATATTCTAGAAGAGTTTGTGTAAAAATGATATTATTTATTCATTAAATATTTGGTAGAGTTTACCCATGAACCCATCTGAGCCTGGAGCTTGTCTAGTGGGAAGGTTTTTAATCTATAATTCAATTACTTTAGTAGATATAGGACTACTCAGGTCTGTTTTTTTTTTTAACAAGCTTTGAGAGTTTTGTCTTTCACGAAATGTATCCATTTCATGTAAGTTAAATTGATTGACATAATAGAGTTCATAACATTCTGTTATTATCCTTTTAATTTCTGTACTATTTGTAATGATGTCACCTCTCTTATGCCTGATATTAGTAATATTTGTCTACACTCTTTTTTACTGATCAGTCTGACTAAAGGATTATCAATTTTATTGATCTTCTCCAAGAACCAACTTATGGTTTCATTGATTTTCTGAATTGCTTTGTCTCTTTTATATTTCATTGATTTCTGCTCTGATCTTTATTTCCTTTTGTTTACTTTGGGTTTAACTTGATAATCTTTTTCTAGATTCTCAAAGTGGAAGCAGAGGTCATTGATTTGAGACCTTTCTTCTATTCTGATATAGATATTCCCCTAAGTACTTGCTTTAGTGGCACTATTATATATTTTCCTATAAATATTATATGTTTATTAGGAGAATATTATATATATTCTACTACAGATATTCCCCTAAGTACTGCTTTAGTGGCACACCACTGACACCTAAATTCAGGGAGTTTATCTACTAAATTCATCTTGAATTCCCTTTACTGTACAGCAGTCTAAAAATTATCTCAGGGAAGTAAAGTTGGGGAGCTCATAGGGTCTCTGATATTTTGTGTTTTGAAAGCTGTTGTTTCATATATTTTGTCCTTCGGGGGGAGGGGTATTTCTACAGAGGGTAAATACAGTCTCTAGTTCTGTCTTGGTTAGAATGAGAGGTCTCCTCTTCATACTTTGTTATGTCTGAATGAGAAATTCCATTTATATGGAAACATCACAATTCCTTTAACTATTATTCTATTGCTGGACATTTAGTTTTTACTGTTATGAAGTATGCTGTGATGATCATTTATTTTGGTGTACCTCTGTTCATATTATTGAAGAATATTCCTAGAAATGGAATTGCTGGTTCAAATACTTTAATTTTGATAGATATGGCAATATCTAAAATAATATTGATCAGATAACTGTGCACAGAATCAGGGCAATAATAATTTCTTTAAAAACAGCATTTCTTGTATAGTGGTTTTTCAGGGAGTGTCACTGTCATGCTTTAAGCAAATAGTGATTCTGGTTGTTGGAATCAGCATAATCTAGGTTATGCTGCAGTAACAAACAAGTGCAAAGTGCAGTGATTTAACACAACAAAGGTTTATTTCTCAATCATATTACATTCTCTCACAATTTACCTGGGAGCTTTGGTCCCTGTTGTCTTCATTCTGGGACCAAGAATGATAGACCAGTTACTATCTAGAAAATTGTTAGTCTGAGACAGAGGGAAAGAGGGGATGGGAGGAATATATTATCGCATTTTATGCTTCTAACGACATGTCAATTTCATTCTCCTTTCACTGACTAAAACTAGTCAAAATGGTCATATCTAACTCTAAGTAGGTGAGATGATACAATCCTATCACATGTCTGAAGGAAGAAACCTGGAAAGTTTGAAACAGCCATAATGACTGTCACATAAATAAAATTATGTGATGGAAATCTCACCAAGAATATTTTCAAGCATAAAAATGTGTCTCAACTTTTTGTGGTTACAAAATTCAGAGATAGAGAGAGTCCCCAAGACTGCAGTCACTTCATATACTAACTGCAGATATCAGAGATCCTGAAGACTATCCTGCTTCTGATACCACTTATATGTTTGGGGGTTGCCAAGACCACCCCCAGATTG